ATCGATATTCTTTCGCGAGGATTTGTGGTCTAACTTCTAAACTCCTGAATCGTGTAGAGGAATATGTCACTTGACAGATGGTAAGAACTGACTAATCTTCTTTGACGGCTTATTGAATGTTCTAATAGAAGCTCGCTTCAAGATGTATCCAATAACATAAATTCAATATTAAATTAAATTAAATTAAATGAACTTAAAAATACACCAAATTAAACAAAATATTTTGAATTGGCTAAAATTATACGACTATGATAATTCTGAAAACCTACTTTAAGCACATCATCATCATAATCATCATTATCATTACAGCCCTTCACAAGTCCACTGCTGAACGTAGGCCTCCCCCAAACAATTCCACAAAGCACGGTCCTGAGCCACCTGCATCCATCGACTTCCTGCATGTCTTACCAGGACCACGTCTCAGATCCGTAAGTCATCACTGGCAACACGCACTGGTTGTACACTTTAGTTTTCAGAGATTGAGGTATACCTAACGAGAAGATGTGTCGTAATTTCCTGAACGCTGCCCAGCCGAGTTGAATCCGTAGATTGATCTCTCGGTCGAAGTTGGACTTACCAACCAGTCCAATAGTCCAGTCAAAATAGACATTTGACTTAGCCGAAATGATTGATGCATCCCTTTTCTTAGAACAGCCAACAGAAATTCTGCAAGAAGAAGAAAATGAAGACGAAGAAATAATTGTCGAAGTAGATTAGTAGTAGACAATTATCCAATATAATACCATTCAGAAGAAAACAACCTATTCTACTTTGATCATTAACAATATTGTCATTGTTTCAATCAATAAGATACGATCCGATCAAACTTTATTTATTACAATAAATCGTGGAGTATACCTACTGGGGAAACCACGTTAAAAAAATGCGCCAAGTACATTACCTCGTAGGTGGTGCGGAAATGTGTGCATATTATGTAAAATATGAATTTTCTCATTATTAAAACCGCGATATCTTATGAATGGTGAGTCTTAAGAGAAAAAGTGACTGGACCATTTTTGTAGAGAATTGTATGATCTACAACTTTTTTCTGACTTATTTATACGATAAAACTTACCGTTTTCGATAAAAATGGAAAAAACCTAAATTTTGCACGTTTGACCTTGAATAATTTTTTTTGCAGAAGTAGGATCGACGGGGATTTTTGACATTTTATTTATACTGATGTATTTAACGTCTTTGTTAATTTTCAGCTCTATGCGAATTTTGGCTAAGTCAAATGTCTATTTTGACTGGACTATAGGTAAGTCCAACTTCGACCAAGAGATCAATCGATGGATTCAACTCGGCTGGGCAGCGTTCAGGAAATTACGACACATCTTCTCGTTAGGTATACCTCAATCTCTGAAAACTAAAGTGTACAACCAGTGCGTGTTGCCAGTGATGACTTACGGATCTGAGACGTGGTCCTGGTAAGACATGCAGGAAGTCGATGGATGCAGGTGGCTCAGGACCGTGCTTTGTGGAATTGCTTGGGGGAGGCCTACGTTCAGCAGTGGACTTGTGAAGGGCTGTAATGATGATGATGATGATGATGATGATGTGCTTAAAGTAGGTTTTCAGAATTATCATAGTCGTATACTTTTAGCCAATTCAAAATATTTTGTTTAATTTGGTGTATTTTTAAGTTCTTTAATTTAATTTAATTTAATATTGAATTTATGTTATTGGATACATCTTGAAGCGAGCTTCTATTAGAACATTCAATAAGCCGTCAAAGAAGATTAGTCAGTTCTTACCATCTGTCAAGTGACATATTCCTCTACACGATTCAGGAGTTTAGAAGTTAGACCACAAACCCTCGCGAAAGTATATCGATTCTTACCAATGATGATACGTGATGCTATTGCAATATAAAAAACAAGCTAATTTCAATAGATAAGGATGCTGGGTACTACCATCCGCTTGTGACTCTGTAATTAATAAAATTAAAACTAAACCCAAGCATGCAAGACTGCAAGACTTCTAGACAGAGTAAGTTCATTATTCATAGATCGGACCATAAACAATAATTAAAAAGCTGAAGGTATTCCGGGTTAATATAGACATCGGAAGATCAGTCACCTCCTTTTCGTGACCATGGGTTCTGGAAAGCACCCGGAATGTTGTGAATTAAAAATAAATAAAAATTAAATGCGATAAAATTCGTAAAAGAAGTTTTAATCAATGTGTAGTGTTCGCGTAAATATAAGAAATCATTAACTAAATCTAGGGGATTTCACCTACCTAAGATGTGACATTTTTTCTTTTAATGAATATGGGACCAACACTGAAATTTAATACATTATTTAATAAAAAACAAGAGTTCTTAAAATCGGATCACAATAAGCAAAGGAATCGCGTAACATACATACCAAAAAAAAAAACAGTCGGATTGTGCTCAGCGGTGGACTTGAAGGGGTTGGTATAATGATACCATCTAGAATAAGGTAATAAATTAACTAATAGTCTACCTTATGGTAAGTGCAAACTGTGGCTCATAAATACCCTCATCTTTCCCCGGTTAAGAATCAAAATGCAAATATGTTGTCACCCCTAAGGTCGATAATGGAATACCTCATTTTCAGTAAAAAATGTCTCTGGTGCTCTATATTCACTATACGAAATATAGCAGCCATATCATTAAACTGCTATTTTACGCTGGTATTCTATAAGGCACACTCCTTTGCCGATCGAGCCAACCCATTCGTGCTGTAACCACAATATAACTGTATCGTGGCATTCCCACTTACCACATTTTATATATCAATACAATGTCTCAATAAAAAAATTATTTATAACAAACTTATATAAAATATTATAACGTGTTTACTTTTACCAATTCATCTGTTTCGTTTTTATACTTATGTGTAATATATAAAAGTGACATATTATTTAGGGACCTTTCTCTCGGCGACCCATTATCAGTGCGCTGCGGGATGTTTGCACATTATTGTGTGATGAGATGATATTTGTTAGCGTTGTGTAACATGACAGTAGATTACTTTGCCCATTTTATTAATAGCAGCTTTACACGTAGCATAAATACAACGACAAATTTCTATCACACAAAATATAATAGATAATATTGTTGAACCTTTTGATATCCTTAAATAATATTTACCTATGTATTAACAATGAGCCTGCTACTACTAGGAAACTAGGAACTTTGTGAAAGGACAACTTTCTGCCTAGGAGTCCAGCAATGTAGGTAGGTATTACCATAGAATACAAAACAATAGAACAATAGAAAAAAATTTATTCAAGGTCAAACGTGCAAAATTTAGGTTTTTTCCATTTTTATCGAAAACGGTAAGTTTTATCGTATAAATAAGTCAGAAAAAGGTTGTAGATCATACAATTCTCTACAAAAATAGTCCAGTCACTTTTTCTCTTAAGACTCACCATTCATAAGATATCGCGGTTTTAATAATGAGAAAATTCATATTTTACATAATGTGCACATCATTTCCGCACCACCTACGAGGTAATGTACTTGGCGCATTTTTTTAACGTGGCTGCCCCAGTAGGTATACTCCACGATCTATTGTAATAAATAAAGTTTGATCGGATCGTATCTTATTGATTGAAACAATGATAATATTGCTAATGATTAAAGTAGAATAGGTTGTTTTCTTCTGAATGGTATTATATTGGATAATTGTCTACTACTAATCTACTTCGACAATTATTTCTTCGTCTTCATTTTCTTCTTCTTGCAGAATTTCTGTTGGCTGTTCTAAGAAAAGGGATGCATCAATCGTTTCTTCATTAATATTTTCATCGTGTTCTATTTGTTTCAATATTGGAGCAAGTCTGACCCTGAAAATTGATGCATACTGGCGAACAAAATAATCCAACTTTTTGACAGCCACAATTCTTACTACAATCCGTCTTACATTTACAAAAAATAGCATTAAGCAGTTTTTCTGGAGCAGGCGGGAGTAGCGTTTGAATTGGCTCCAAATAACGAATTATCTGTAAATTTCAAACCCCATCCTTCCGGGTCCAGATCATTGCCTAGCCACACTTGTACTTGACAATACACACGATACAAGTGTTGAAAGGCAGAAGCAGATGTTGGAGGCAGACAAAACAATTGTACTATTATTCCATGCAGATTTTACAAACCTCAAATATCTATATTTGTCTATGGAATCAATTTTTTTGGAGCACCATATATTGCAAGAAGAAAACGAATTCCATTTGTAACGATGTCGTGTGGAGAAGAGTCAATCTTTGTAAATACTTCTGCGCAATCAATTAAATCATTGCGTTTTTCGAACAATTTAAATACTGCTATTTTACATATTTTAAAAAGTGCTGATATAATATCGCAACCAGTTATTGCATGTAAAAATAAAATATGAACTTGACATTTCGGATCTGCAGTCAGACTTCGTGATGAATATATTGTTGATTGTACTTGAGCTTTTCCAGGTTTCAAAAAGTAAATAATTTTATCATTTGGAGTCCGTGCAGTCAGTAATATCAAAAAATCAACATCTTCCCCATGTAGCGGCGCTGTCGTCGCGCCACAAGCGAAATACACCGAAGCCTAAATCACGCTATCAACATTCCGAATCATAGACAGTATATATAGAACTTCTCCGAACTATCACTCGGAGTGTTGGCCGCTCCCCGGGCAGAACACCTTGCCCGGCGGAAGATCTCCCCTTTTCCTTCCACGGCCACACCCAACAACGACAGTTGTATTTGAACTTTACCATTGTTCTATTGCTGTTTCAGTTATAAGGACATCAGCATCATTATCAGCTTATTTTATTGGAATGCCAGCAGCTGTTAATTCTTCATATAACATTGAAATGCAGCGAGAATTATTGTGAGTATTTGCAAGAAATTTTTGTTGGTTTGTTGGAACTTTCATAGATCGATCAAAAACGACATCAACAGATGAAGATGTTTTTGTAGTCCAACGACGTTGTTCTGCAGCTTTAATATTTTTCGTTTGATTAGTATAAACATCAAATACAATCGTACTGTTATGACCAAAATGTCTGTACATACTGAACATATTTTTCAAAAATAGTTTGAAATGTTTCATCTCGATCCCATACCACACGGTGTAATAGATACCCTCCATCGATGATGTAGATAGAATTTGTGTTCTCAATATCGAAGTTTAAACAATCAAAGCAATTATAAAGAGCTGACTTCATAGTTTTACGCATTCCCACTGCATCAAAGAGTGTTAATGGGTAAGGAGCTAATTCATATGCGAAGAATGTTTCAAGTGTATCTTCAAATGTCTGAGTAATGCTCATGCGTTGAAATAATAATACAGGATCTATAGGCACCTTTTCATCATGTACTTTTATGACGCTACTTGCACTAAAAAGAGGAAGTACTCTATCAGCGCGTTTTAATTTAATATTATTAAACGTTTGACCAGTCATTTTGCTTATAGAAGCAAGTCCAACAGCACGAGCATTATGAAAATTAATTTTATCATTGCCGACGACTCCGATGGAAATGGACATAATTTTTGGAATGACAGGGAACGGATCATGTGATAAGAGCCACTCCAAAAGTTTATTAATATCTTCAATATCTCTCTTTATACGAGAATCGCTTGCATCCACATGCTGGTCTGTTTTGTCCATTCTAACATTAGCAAGATCTTCCAATACTTCATACACAGTATTCATCGTATGCATGCCATAAGCCCATTTACTAATGACACTTTCTTGCGTACTTCTCCCTCGAGCAACACCTCCATCTGTTTTCATACACTTCATCATTGATTGTTCAATCACCATATCCGTCGAAGTTCCACAATTTAATTTATCAGAACGATATAGTGAAAAATCCCTCGATAAATCTTTGATAAACACTAGGATCCATCAAGTTCTCTAATTGCATCATATCTTGTAATAAAATGTCCTGAAGCATGAAGATAAGGAAGCATTTCTTTAACGCAATTCAAATGAGGTCGCCAATCTCCCATACGTTTAGCTCTTATAAATTCCTTTGCAATAGACACCATATGAAAATATTGTATCCATAGTTTTGCTGTAGGTCCTCGTTCTCCGTGCTCCTGTAGTTTTTCATTAAACTGATCAAGTAATGCTTCAGCTATTTCATCACCTTCTTCAATATCATTGCAGGAAATAGTTTTGTTTGTTACAAGTTCAATTGTATTTGTAAGGTTTTCATCCATCTCACTATCGAGAAGAAGCTCTTTGGATATTACTGTTGCTAAAGTAAGATGAAGCAAGGTATGAGCTCGAACAGCTCTCGCGTAAGCATAACATTGAGCATTTTTTCTAGTGAATTAGGTGCATAAATTAGAGAAAGTACTTCTTTTATACCACTTCCTTGCATAATATAACCAATCGCCCCAAAAAAAGACATAAGTAAATGAAAACCTCCAAGTCTTACTATGATCTACGATAATTCAGATCCTTCAGGCGCTGCGGATACGATTTTTCAAGCTTTTTGCATACAAAGGTTGATCAAAAGTAATAATACAATAATCGTGGCCATAACGTTTTACATCTTCTAAAGCACACAGTAAAGTTGTGTATATGGTATTGTAGTTACTCGCTGGTTGATGAATAAATGGTAAAAATAAAATTCGAGATTCCGAAAAATTTATAATATTACTTGTTAAATGTTCAATATAACCATTCCAACCAGGCAATAATAAATTTTTCCATTTCCCATATAACCATAACACATCTACTTTTTTAAGTAAAGATGTTGTTGTATTACTTTTATAATCAAAATCCTGCACAACTATTTTGCAATATCCTACTACACCATCTGTTTGATAGACTTGTAATGGCACATGAGCTTTTTCTGCAAAATGTTGCGCTGACGGAAGTATGTTTTTCGTAATATACGCTCTTCTGCTGTAACTGAACTTTTTGGAGTAATAATTTTAATGATCCCCATGATGTGAAGCGTATTGTGACCGTCCAAAGTATGTACATTTATATCAGCATTGTCTGCAACATACTGAATAAATGTGCCAGTTTTTGGTAGCAAAATATGCGGTGGACGATGCAGAACTGCTGCTGCCTCATACATTATAGTATCATTATATGATGCACATGTATAAGACGTTTTGATCCAAATCGTCGATGAAAAAAAAAACTGATAAACCCAAATGCAATCTTGATTTGAAAGACCTAGGCCGAACAGCAGTCATTATACAGTGGTTGATAGTTGTACATATTAATTTCAAGTGATCTAATTTAAATCGTCGATTTTTTTAAAATTACTTGCTCCAAAAAATAAGTCAAGGACTCCGGAATATCGCTGTCAATATTTTCAAACATTCGACTCGGCGGGGGATAATTATCATTATCAAGCACTACATATTGTATATCCTCTGGAATAAATGCTGCGGCAGCTTTCAGTACTCTGAATCGTTCTTCGTTTGTATTTTGTTTTTTATTTTCATACTGTAACACTTCCCCCCCTCTCATAATAATAAATACATTAGATTAAATATAATTAATTCTCCTTTATAATAAAAATTATATATATGTGACTAAGATAAATAAAATATGTTTTGGTCTTACTAAATGATCTTTCTAAAGGTTTAATAATAGGCCGTTTGTAATATTTTGGCGTGATCGACTTGGTTAGAACCCTTATTTACGTTGTATTTGTTTAGTAACTTAGTTCTTTTAGGTGTCTTTTGGAAGAATGAATATGCGCTAGAGCAATTGAAAGCTGTTTGTAGTGCCCTATAAGCTAAGTGAACCCCGTTCACGAAGACAGGGCTCGAGAAAGGTTAAGACATATAACGTCCTAATTCCATTTGTATCAGGTTTACATTATTAATTTATTATTATTTATCCCTTCCCGCTCGGAAAAGGCTCAAAATATATTTATACAAAATACCCGATACAAGGGCTTCGCTCGCACATTTATTAAAAAATGTAGGGGAGGCACACGGCCCCATACACGCCGTGCACGGTGAGCGCCAACCATTTTGATGCACTACCCCCGCAGGAAACGCTAATTCTGGAACTGGACCGTAGTCCACAGCCAAATAACTGGCGAACCAGTAAAAGAGGCTTGGCCCCTTGTTACTGCGTAAGCACAAACATCGACCGAAGTCGCGCATGTCAATGCGTGTAAACGCCATACAGAATACGAACGAATCCAGCCACAGTGAATGTACGTCACACGGTTTAGGCAAATAGGCACACTGGCCGTAAACCCTCCATGAGCGCCACCACCTGCCAGACCGCCGCTCCTGCAGACGTGATGTAAGTGTATGGCATCACGACCAATTGCATGATCAGCACGGCTACTTTGCTACTACGTTGTGCGGCTTTCGTCCGCAGCCTTGAGCGTCTCCTCAGATCCTCCCGCCAGCTACCACCCGCATGAGGTTGACACATATACAACAACCAATACAAAGGCAGATATAGCCAAAAGGCAGTTATAAGATAAGAGTAATAATTCGCCATCAGAAAGGGTTTGTGTCACTGACGTTGAGTAAATGAGCATTTTCGATCATGTTTGTCTCACCCACCAACAAGTTGCGTTCAATCATTCAAAGGTGGGAAAGTTACAGAGATATATTATTATGTTGTTATATAAAACATTAAAACATCGTGGAGGGCAGACAGTCTGCAGCCCCGTAATGAAGGGACCGGACTTGGGCAAAGCTACTCAGGCGTGAGTCAAACCGAGAGAGAGCGCCATTGAGAAAGCGTAACAACCATCGCAAAGACGAGCTGAACGTATCGTCGGGCTTACACCATCCCAAGGTCCCCCATACATCCCAGCAGACATCACCACCTGCATACCTACCATCGACCAGAACCACAAGAGTGCGTCGAATCAGGCGCAGCACACCCGCAGATCCATCACAAGACGCAATACCGTAAGTAGCAGTAAGCATCAATGCAAATATCATACGGGTGGCGCCCCCTCACAACACACCCGCATGACCCCTATCGATTTTGGTAACAAAGTTTTTATTGTTGATATATAAAAAATATCACCAACGTATCATAGTAGCACGCTACTAAGACGCCAATGAACAAAACTCTACGTATCATAGCGCTGATGCACTAAGACATGAAGTTGAGTATGCCTGTTACACTTAAAAGTGCTACCAAACACACTCATCATCCCAATCCGAAATATAGACGACGCATCGCTATGCGCTACTACGCCGCCAACAAACGGTATGGGTGTGCGATGTCCACGGGAAAGCCGTATTGCTACAACAAACCCGCTTACCACCGGCACTAAGATGATATGTCTAGGACACATCGGTTAGCGAGTCCAAGTTTACCTCGGACCAATTGCTCGTGAAGCAGCACACACGCCCCCATAATATTCCTTTTGAAGTCCCTAATAAGGACTAGTCATTTTACTACAGTACTAGGAGCAGTCGGTCACCCGACCACCCCATACAATGCTTATGCATCAAGGAGACCTTCTATAATAATGATTTTGTATCATAGGCCTTACTTTCATAAGTCATTAATATATAGGGTTCGAACCCACGACCCTACTATTGTAATGCAAATTCATCATAGAGACCTTCTATAGTATTGCTTTTGTTTCACAGACCTTACTTTCATATGTAATAAATATATAGGGTTCGAACCCACGACCCTACTATTGAAATACGTATTAATCATAGAGACCTTCTATAGTATTGCTTTTCTATCATAGAACTTACTTTCATAAGTCATTAATATATAGGGTTCGAACCCACGACCCTACTATTGTAATGCAAATTCATCATAGAGACCTTCTATAGTATTGCTTTTGTATCATAGGCCTTACTTTCATAAGTCATTAATATATAGGGTTCGAACCCACGACCCTATTATTGTAATGCAAATTCATCATAGAGACCTTCTATAGTATTGCTTTTGTATCATTGAGTTTATTATCATAAGTCCCTAATATAGGACTAGTCATTGTGCTACAGTACTTCAGGTAGTCGGGCTCCCGACCACCCCATATATATGTACAACTGCAGGTATGTATCTCCGGCAGCTCCTCTATACAAGACATCTATACATGAACACCTTCCATAACTTAGGAAACTTTTCTTTTATACGTGAACTCCTTCCACAACTTAGGAAATTTCTTTTATACACGAACTCCTTCAACAACTTAGGAAAATTTTCTTTTATACATGAACTCCTTCCACGACTTGACAATTTTCAACAAATTTTCTAATTATCTTATAAATGTTATTTATCTTTATTTTTATAATATTTTCGACTTGTATTTCTATTAATTATCTTATTTTAAATATTTTTTCAAGTTTTTAATAAATTTATTTATTATGGAAGACAATATTTTGCCTTTAATTTACTATGTTATTGGTCTAATGTCTGAAATGTATTTGTATTAACTTTATGGTTATTAATGTAATTTTATTGTTTAATATATATCTTTTAAGACTATTTTTGACGCCCCTTTATATTGTACTTAATTATTAATAATAATATAGGGCCGTCACAATACCAAGCTTTCTTAAGAATATCGTACTGCTTGTCAATAAAACAGATAATTGTTAAACTCCCTTTTTTCTCAGTTATAATAATTTTATCACCATACTTTAACTTTAATCTTCTTTTAATTGTTTTATTATCTATAGCTGGATTTTTTGCTAATGTCTTTCAATTCTTGGAATGAAAATTGACAATCATCATTATTTTTAATGTATTGAAATATTTCATCTATCGTCAAGTTCACTAAATCATCTTCGGGACGACCGACTTTATATCCCGTAGTAGGCTTCAGAAAGATATTATAACAGTTATTGAGGTACTTAGCTTCAGCAGCAACTAAGTCAAATTCATACTCAATGCGGGCAATAACAGCTTTTGCTACGTCATCAGAACGAGTTCAAGCTACCTTTAAAATTGAATCTTTAAATACAACTGTAGATACATTATATAGTTTACGATGAACATTCTGCGCTTTCTTCTTTTCAGCTTCTTCATTTGCTTCATCGCCGCAAAATAAACAATATCTTTTAAAGTTGAAATCTGGCTCACTTACTCGTGCTCTAGTATGAGGTGGACTTATCGTGGATGTACTACCTTGTTCTGTCTCACGCTGTCTTTTAGCTGGAACAATACTACTCTTTCGAGTGTGCATTTTGCGACACTGCACGTGGACTGTCACAGATTGCTTGTCTTTCAAGTATTCAAAAACTTATAATTTCTTACAACACTTGCATCAATCAAAGTCTTCATTCCACAATCAACAACAACAACTTCACTTTCTTTCAAAGGTTTATCACAAATGAAACAAACTTCTGACATTTTGTTAAAACTATTTAACTGCACAAATTAAAATTGAAAATATTACCAATAAGCACGTCTGCTAAGAAATTTTGTAATGCAAAGAAATTTTCAAAACTAACAGTATATACTAAGGTATTTCGTTTACTTCCTTCAAAAATTGGCAGGTATGCGACCCTCCACACTCGAACAATGACGTAGCTAGCAGATGTTACTCAAGGTTACCGACGAATGGAATTAGGGACTAACTGTCTTTTATTTTAAAATATACATTCAATTTATACCAGTTTTATTGCGTAAGTAATACAAACCAATAGTTTCTTATTTTCATTATTATTGAACGTCCGATGACGTGTACAGGCTGCATTATAGTGCATATTATGTAAAATATGAATTTTCTCATTATTAAAACCGCGATATCTTATGAATGGTGAGTCGTAAGAGAAAAAGTGACTGGACCATTTTTGTAGAGAATTGTGTGATCTACAACTTTTGTTTGACTTATTTTTACAATAAAACTTACTGTTTTCGAGAAAAATGGAAAAAAACCTAAGTTTTGAACGTTTGACCTTGAATAAATTTTGTTGCAGAAGTAGGATAGTTTTGACATTTTATTTATAGTGATGTATTTAACGTCTCTGCCAATTTTCAGCTCTATGCGAATTTTGGCTAAGTTATGAGTTATTTTTGTCTATTTTGACTGGACTACTAGTCGGACTATTTGTCCCAGGTAAACGTACTCGTCAACAACTTCGAGCATAGTGCTCCCAACAACTACCGGCATAGGTGTGACATGGACATTAAACATGATCTTTGTTTTGTCCATGTTCATCTTAACACCTATCCGTTGGGAGACAATATTGATGTAATTGAGCGTGATGCTAAGGTTCTCCAGCGATTCTCCCATAAGGACTATATCGTCGGCAAATCGAAAGTGAGTGATGTACTCGCCATTGATGTTAATACCGTATTCTTTCTAGTCCAGAAGCTTGAAAACGTCTTCCAATGCGGCGGTGAAGAGTTTCGGGGATATAACGTCACTCTGTCTTACACCTCTCTGCAGTTGGATAGGTTTCGAACTCTGGTTCTGTACGTGGATAGCCATCGTAGCCCTACTGTACAAACACTTCAGCACTTCGATATACCGAAAGTCAACTTGGCACCGCTGAAGGCTTTTTCATAGTCCACATACACCAGGCAAAGTGGCAGATTGTACTCTTCGGCTTTCTGTACAATCTGCCGCAGGGTATGTATGTGGTTTCTGGTACTGAAGCCCTTTCGGAAACCGGCTTGTTCGGGAGGCTGGAAGTCGTCGAGTCTGCGTGCGAGACGATTCGTAATAACTCTCGAAAACAGCACGTAGACGCGGCTCAGAAGGGAAATCGGTTTGAAGTTCTTCAAGAGAGCGTTGTCGCCTTTCTTAAAGAACAAGACACCTCACTTCTGCTCCACGCCTCCGGAGTTGTGCCACCATGGAGGACGGAATTGAAGAGCTTCTGAAGGACTTCAAGTACCGGTGTTCCACCCGCTTTCAGAAGCTCCGCTGTAATTCCATCCTCGCCTGGAACCCTGCCATTTTTAAGGTCCTGGATCCATTCTAATCTCGCTCAGACTGACGTCCGTGATATCATCGGAATAGTGTCGGATAAGACTTGCTCTTGGATCGTTACTCACACTTGCGTGTGGCTCCAACGATGATGTGTACAGCTGCCCATAGAACCTCTCAATCTCACTCAAAATCTCAGGTGTCCTGGAAACGATGCTGCCACACACAGTCTCCAGTTTTTATAGTTGGCTCTTTCTGGCAGACAGATCTCTGGCAAAGACTTTAGAGCCCTGGTTCCGCTCGATCGCTTCTTTAATACGAGCAGTATTAAAGTTGCGTAAGTCTCGCCGCATGCATTTAGAGATCTGTCTGTTCAGTTACCTGTATGCTGTCAAATCTGTTGACGACTGCAGCAGCATCATCTCCCGTCTAACAGCTATGAGATTAAGAGTGTGATAGGAGAGTTTTTGTGTTCTTCTGCGGCGGGTCTTGCAGAACTTAGCTCCGACCGCATGAACAGTTTCCACGAGCTTGTCATTAATATCGTCCACTGCATTGCAATCTTCTAGGTACTGAAAGCAGTTACGTAACTCGAGCTGAAAGGCTTCGGATTCTGGATTAGAGCACAATGGGGGCGAAACGTTGACTTCATTAGACGAGACCTCTCCAACTTAACATTTAGGTACAGTGTGCCTCTAACCAGTCGGTGGTCGCTGCCGGTTTTCACTCTTGCGATCACTGAGACATCACTAAACAGTTGGCGTCTGGTCTTCATAATGAAGTCAATCTCATTTTTTGTCGAACCGTCGGGGCTCGACCAGGTCCACTTCCTGTGGGGCCGCTTATGGAAGAAAGAGTTCATCATAAAGAGTCCCTCTTTCTCCATAAAGTCAGCCAGCTGCTGATCCCTACGGTTCCGTTGCCCTACTCCAAATTTCCCTAACTTCAGCTCACCGCCTTCTCTTGTGCCTAGTTTTGCGTTGAAGTCTCCCATCAACACCTTGTAGTGGGTTTTGGAGAAATGCATGGCTCTAGAAATATCCTCATACATTTTCCCCACTTCCTCATCGGGATGTGTCGAGGTTGGTGCGTGTACCTGTATGACCTTCAGCGAATACCGTTTGGTGATTCTGAGTGTCAGGTACACGACCCTTCTCGACACACTCCTAATCTTTACAACGTTGTTGACGAGAGACTTGTGGACGATAAATCCGACACCTCCTTGGGACAGATGGTCGCCCTCCCGGTGATAGAACAAGTTGCCGGACTTGAGAATTACCGTGTCCTTCCCCTCTCTTCGGACCTTAGATAATCCAATAATATGCCAGCGCAACTTGTCTACCTCTTCTTCCAGCTCCAGTATATTTTCGTCAGTCCTCAGGGTGCGTGAGTTATACGTTGCCAGGTCGAGTCGTCGTAGGTGGCAACCGAACCTCCACCGGAGATTGTTAGCACCCCCTGCCCCGCCGTTACCATGGTCGCCACCGTAGCCAGGAATAGCGGGGCCGCCGGGGACTAGGAGCTGTTTGTTTGCGTCGTTGCTCATGGACAGATATTTGCCATAGTTGCCACGCTTGGCGAGCGGGTTGGCAACAGCATTTTTTTATTATGTTATTGTTGTTATTAGGAAGATGCTGCTGCCCATCTCCTTTCTGTGTCCCTCTGTCGCCTCTTACGACACCCACGGGAAGATATGGGATAGTGGATATTCTCAACCGCCACTACACGGTAATTTATAAGCACATATTTTAACAAAAACAGACAAACCTTCATACACACACACACGAGCGCGCAGGGGCACGCACACGCACGCACGCACACGCACGCATATATACACACTTTTTTTTCTTGTAATATGTTTAGAGTCTGCGTTGTGCACGGAATGTGAGATAACTGAATGAGAGGGAAACTGCCTTTTAACATACAGGGTAACCTAGTTTAGGAGTCAGGGTAAAGAGTTATTGAACACAGAATTAATATACAATTCATAGATATCCTGCCTACTGGCTGAGTACTACCACCTGCTTGGGACCCTGTAGTTAATAAAATTAAAATTAAATCCAAGCATGCCACCGTAAGACTTCAAGACATAGTAAGTTCATATTGCATAGATCGGACCATAAACAATAATTAAAACGCTGAAGATATTACGGGTTGACATTGACATCTGGATGTTAGTAACTTTAGTCCCCCGTGACCAATGGTGCTGGAAAGCACCCGAAACGTCGGTAATTAAAAATCAATTAAAATTAAACGAGATAAAATCCGTAAAAGTAGTTTTAATCAAGGGTATGTAGTTTTTAATTGTAACTATTTAAGTGACGTAGAGATTGTAATATTCCTTAGTCAACTCAAAAGGATAAAAAATAACTTTTAACAAGGATAAAAGCCGATTTCAAAGAACTGAAAAGAATAAAATAATTTCACATGCTGACGTCCGGACCTTAATTCTTCTATACACTATGGCTTAAGTCAAGTCGGTAAGTCAGTTGGACTTCAGAATATAAAATAATTTTACCTTTTACTTCTTAAGTGTCTGCATTTGCTTTTTGTTAAGAGTTTAACTTCATAAATTAACTCGGACGTTATATTAATTTATCTAGGTATAAAACAATATTTGGTGCATCTGTTAGTTTCCGTGTTACATCTGAATGGCTGGACCGATTTAGTTCATATTCACAAAATCTGTTTTTTTTGTAGAATAAAGTTTTCAAACGAGCACACAGTCCACCTGATGGTAAGTGGATGCTATGGCTCATAGATATCTACATTTATCTTCGACTAAGAATCAAAACACAAATGCGTTTTCACCTCTGAGGGCTAAGATGAATCTCGTTTCCAGTAAAAAAGGGTCTTCGGAACTCTACACTTACCATAAGAAACACAGCAGCATTAAGCTGCTATTTTACGCTGATGTTCTGTGAGAGCGTGGTCCTTCCCCGGTCGAGCCGAACCACTCGTGTAACAACCAAAATATAGCTGCAGCGCGGCTAATTTTGTGGCGTAATTATTTGTTGCTTGGAGTAGTGTTCAATAATAATATTTTTTTTACTTATCTATAATTGAGTTATAAAACCTTAGGCATGTAAAGAAATAGTACAGGATATGAGCTGTATAAGTATAGTGTTACGAGCTTGAGGTTCGTGACAATAAAAGTTACCGATAAAATTACCTAAATTAACACTTTAATTTACTTTACACAAATTAAAGTTAAAACACTAATAATTTAAACACACTAATTCACTTAATTCCACTCCGAAGCTTCGCTTGTTTCGCCCAAATCAACACTGCCTCGATCGCATCTTGCA